GTCCCTGGGTGGGTCTGTGGCATCCCTGGGTGGGTCTGGGTGGGTCCCTGGGCAGATTCCAGGGGGTCCCTGAGTGGGTCTGAGGGGTCCCTGGGTGGGTCCGGGGGTCCCTGAGCAGGTTCCGTGTGGTCCCCACCCCCCCCGACAGTGTGGTGTCCCCACAGGGGCCGCGGGGCCATCGGGGGACACCTCTGGGGCCACCCCGGGGAACACGCGGCTGTTCCCGAGGGCCATCGATGTTCCGGGGGCGGGGTTCGAGTACGTGATGTTCCTCTGTGTCCCCCAGCGCCGCCTGCGCTGCCTCTGCCAGCCCGGGCCCTTCCTCGAGGGACACCCGGGGTGAGGGACACCCCCCTGGCACCCCCGGGGCCCCCCCTGGCACCCCCGGGTCCCTTTGTCACCCCTGGGTCCCCTTCTGTTACCCCCAGGGTGAGGGACACCCCCCCTGCCACCCCTGGGGCCCCTTCTGACACCCCCAGGGTGAGGGCCACCCCCCCCCCCCCCCGGCGCCCCCCCCTGCCACCCCCGGGGTGAGGGACACCCCCCTGGCACCCCCGGGTCCCCTCCTGTCACCCCTGTGTCCCTTCTGACACCCCCGGGGTGAGGGACACCCCCCTGGCACCCCCGGGGCCCCTCCTGTCACCCCCGGGGTGAGGGACACCCCCCTGTCACCCCCATGTCCCCTCCTGTCATCCTTGTATCCCTTTGCCATCCTCATATTCCTCCCTGTCACCCCTTGGTCCCCTCCTGTCACCCCCGGAGTGAGGGACACCCCCCTGTCACCCCCATGTCCCTGTGCCCCCAGGTTGTCCCCATGTCCCTCTGTCCCCTGGCGTCCCCATGTCCCCAGGCTGTCCTCATGTCCCCAGGCTGTTCTCGTGTCCCCAGGCTGTCCCCTGGTGACCCCTCTGTCCCCACGGTGTCCCCATGTCCCCAGGCTGTCCCACGATGACCCAGTGTCCCCGTGTCCCCATGGTGTCCCCGTGTCCCCAGGCTGACCCCTCTGTCCCCTGGTGTCCCCATGTCCCCAAGCTGTCTCCAGGCTGTCCCCATGTCCCCCAGTGACACCCCTGTCCCCTCGGTGTCCCTGTGTCTCCAGGCTGTCCCTGGTGTCCCCATGGTGTCCCCGTGTCCCCAGGCTGTCCCCTGGTGACCCCCCTGTCCCCCTGGTGTCCCCGTGTTGCCCAGTGACCCCGATGTCCCCGTGTCCCCAGGCTGACCCCGTGTCCCTGTGGTGTCCCCGTGTCCCCCAGTGACCCCCCTGTCCCCCCGATGTCCCCATGTCCCCAGGCTGACCCCGTGTCCCTGTGGTGTCCCTGTGTCCCCAGGCTGACCCACGGTGGTGCCCTGGCCACCCTGATCGACAGCTCCCTGGGGACACTGGCGCTGGCGGTGGCCGGGAGGGTGGTGACAGCCAACCTCAGCATCGACTACGTCCTGTGAGTGTCCCCAAGGGGGTGGCACCGTGTCCCCAGAGGTGGCACAGTGTCCCCAAGGGTGGCACTGTGTCCCCAAGCGGGTGTGAGGGTTTCCAAGGGGTCAGAGTGTCCCCAAGGGTGGCACCGTGTCCCCAGGGGGGCAGGAGAGTTCCCAAGGGGTCAGAGTGTCCCCAAGAGTGGTGAAGTGTCCCCAGAGGTGGCACCGTGTCCCCAGGGGGGGGGGCAGGAGTGTCCCCAAGGTGGTACAGTGTCCGTAAGGGTGGCACTGTGTCCCCAAGGGTGGCACAGTGTCCCCAAGGGAGGCACGGTGTCCCCAAGGGTGGCACAGTGTCCCCAAGGGTGGTACAGTGTCCCCAAGGGTGGCACGGTGTCCCCAAGGGGTCAGAGTGTCCCTAAGGGTGTCCTGGTGTCCCCAAGGGTGGCACGGTGTCCTCAAGGGTGGCACAGTGTCCCTAAGGGGTCAGAGCATCCCTAAGGGTGTCCCTAAGGGTGGCACAGTGTCCCCAAGGGGTCAGAGTGTCCC